CCTTACCAAAAAAGAAAGACATGTGCAACAAGTTTGGTATGTATTTGACTTATGCGTCCCTCTCCACTTGCATGATTAATGACACTCTTACATTCGTAATTTGTGAAAGTTTCTGTCACAATTTGGCACAAGAGCAATTACATTCGTAAGATGAAACGAAGAGTGTCGGTACTTGTCTTTACAGGCAGTGCCGGTCCAAAATTTTTTGGATTCCCCACGCGAAATTAAAAAAAAAAAACCGTTATTTTGTTAATTTTTCCTTTTTTTTCTTTTGAATTTGTATATAAATTAATCATTGAATCAGAACACGTATCTTAGTCCAGTGTAGCGATGAAATTCGTCCAAATTTCATCCGAAATCGAACGTAAAAGGTCAGGGACGAAACTCTTTACAACATTCTTATTCTTTCGTTAAATCTAATCACAGGTTTGATTACTTAACAGCTTGGATAGCTTTAGGGAAGATGTGAAATGGACAAGGGAGATGCTGAAGCTATTCTGCTCATAACAGTAGTTGATTTAGTTCAAAGGAGAATCCAAGTTACAAACACATTTCTTCTTTTGCTGTTTGCATGTTGGAATATACGTTAATATTGAGAACAATGCAACTTCAAGATAGAAAAATCGAAATTTTATTGATATTGCGAATCTCTAAAGAGCAAGAATTCAAACCAATGCCAGAGGCAAAGGAAATCAGAAAAACAAAGAAGCAGAGGAACACGAAAGTGCTCCTAAATCTGAATGACAGTAAGAATCATAAGAGATCTTTTTTATTCTTCAAACACCGGAATCTCTCTCTTCAACTTCTTTAATGGTTCCGAGTCTTTTCTCTCCTCTTCAATCCTCCTGAGCAAGAGGAACCGCCTGAGCCTATAACACACAAAAGACACAGCATTAGAGACGAATAGAGGTTCATTCTTTCGATGCCAAAAAAGGGTTTAAAGAAGCCTCCATGGATGAGAGAATACACTTACCAATGGGCGATACTTCAGTGCATAGAACATCTCAAGGTAACGGCGGCTCTCAAGACGGTCAAGGTTCGAAACATGCTTCCAGAATCCATACACACCGGTCAATGTCAGGAGCCTCTGTGAGTAAATCTGCCAAGTGTATCTGTAAAACCCTTAAAAGATTAGCCAGCTAAACTTGAGACTCTAGTGAAACCAGTAAAAGAACAAGGCATGAGTTTTCTTTCTTACTTCTCCTCGATCCTCTGAAGCCCTCCCTTTGAGATTTCGTCCCAGTGAGAAGGATCTTCCTTACACTTGGTGAAGAAATCAGCAAGAGTATCAGCCGCCTGATCGCCATGGTATGGATCAATGTGGAAACCTGATTTACCGTGCACAATGATCTCAGCAGGACCTCCTTTGCAAGTGGCGAAAGTCGGTAATCCACAGGTCATTGCCTCCACAACAGTCAACCCAAAGGCTTCATACAATGCAGGTTGCACAAACGCACCCTTGGTGTCACAAATGTAACGGTAGAGCTCACCGTTCCTATAACGGTTCATCTGGGAGGAGATCCAACGGAACTGACCATTCAGCTTGTATTCGTCAATAAGATCATACATTTTCTTCATCTCAGCCTTCTCTTCGTTGTCCTTTGATTCTTTCCTCCTGTCTCCTCCCACAACCACCAAGTTAGCCAATTCACGCAGGCGGGTGTTCTTACCGTACCACTCAACAAGACCTGACAAGTTCTTGACACGGTCAAGCCTAGCCATGGTGAAGAGGATAGGCTTCTTCTTGTCCTTGAGAACACATCTGTTTCAAAAGAAAAGCAGAAAGATTAGATCTACCACCACAACGTTAAAGATGAACATGAAGAGTCATCAAAAGCTTACAGGTGCTCTGCGTTCTCAACATCACTGTAGAGGAGCTCCTCGATCTCAGGGTGGAATTTAGTCAATCTACGCTTCTCCTCAGTGTAAGGGAAGTAGACGCTCATATCAGCACCAGGGGAAACAATGTTGAACTTAGGATCAAAGACATCAATCCCATGAACAACACGGTACAGTCCGGGAAGAGTAAAGGCCGTGTGGCTCTCATACTGCCCAACAGTTTCTTTGCTGCAAAATGAGTGAACAAGAACAATCTTATACTGAAACCATATCTCTGAAACTTATTGTTTATTACATTCAATCTCTTTACCTTCCAGCAATTTCTTGGAGAGTACTGGTGATGATGAAATCAGTGTGGTTCATTGCAAACAGATCCGCAGTGAACTGGCACGAGAAATGGTACTTATCATCAAGCTTCTTCCAGTAGATATCGGAGTCCGGGTACTTTGTCTTCTCCAGAGCGTGAGCAATGGTACACTGTAAGAAAGAATTCACACAGCATTAGCTTTGAGCTTGATACGTCTCATTTAATAGATATGAAACATTAAACTGAGGGAGGAGACTAACCTGAGTGACACCAAGTTTGTGTGCCAATAAAGAGGCAACGAGGTTTCCGTCACTGTAGTTCCCAATGATAAGGTCAGGCTTCCCTTTCAACTCTTTCGAAAGCTCAACCGCAGCATCCTGAAATAGCAAGAAAGGTTCAGGTTTAGTCCGAATACAACAAACAAGAGTAATAGTTATAGAGGAAGAGTATACTTCACCTCGGTGTAAGTCTCTAGATATGGCCAGACTTCAAATCTTGAGATCCATTTGCGAACAATACCCTTCTCTGTTCTGAAGGGCACACGGAGAATGTCACAGTACTGAGTTCCATCAACTCTCTCAAGACGCTCACCACATGTGGTTCCCACGGCATCAGGGAGCAGTCGGGTGAGCTGCAAAAGAAACCAAAACAGACAGTGAGATTCAGACATCCGCAAAAAACCCAAAGTTGGAGGAAAAAAACTGAGAGCTTACAATGAGAATTCTTGGAGTAATGTTGAGTCCTTGTTCCTTAATACGTTGGAGCATCTCTATCTCCATGGCACGAACTTGATCCAGAATGTAAACAACCTGCAAGATGACAAAATTTGAGCTCATCGTTGAAGACAGAACAAGAATTAAACCTATAATAGACGAAGAAAAAAAGATGGTTCTGACCTGACCACCAGTGTCAGGGTAACCAAGAACATTGTCCTGAGCAAAGTAACCATGAGGAGAGAGGATCACGACATTGAACACCATCGGGATTCTTCCAAGGAAATTCTCAAGAGTGCAAGGGTCAGGCGCCTCGAGAAGGTCCAAAAGAAGACGGATCATGTCAAGGACACGCTCAGCATTGTCTCCCCATCCCCTCTCCAGACCAATCTCCTCAAACTTGGCCTCAAAGTCTGCATACGGTGTATTGGGCTTAAGCTCAGCCAGATACTCCTCTGCTTTCCTCAAGATACGTTGCAATGTGTTGAGGTTTTGAATCCTCTCGTTCAACATCATATTCTACACCGGAAACACACAAATCATTCAAAACAAGATTCTAGGTCTAATGGAGGAGACAGATTTGAAGGGACTGGATCATTTACCTTTCCCTCGTGGCTGTGACGCTTAAGGAAGTTAAGCAATGGAAGCAAACTCTCCTTGTCATGGAAGAGCTTAGCCGAAAGATGGCGGTTAAGGAACTCAACACCATCTCCAATGTATTTGGAGAGCGTTGGGCGAGGGACAGAAGCATTGAATGGCTCGAAATCGAGCTCAAGCGTGAAATCACCGTTCTTACTGCAATTCAAAATGACATTGTTGAGTGTTAATAAAAACAGAGAGAGACATATAAGAAAACAGAAATTGAAGTAAAAGAGTATGGTTACATACACTCCATCAACGAGTTCTTCCTTGAAATGAAGATACTCAGCAGGTTGAAGCTCTTCAACGGCAAGAACATGGAGATTGACTCTTAAGTATTCCCAAACACCAGGCCTTGGCCTCACAGCAAGTGCAACCCAAGGTGGTAACACAATTGCTTCCTGTTTTAACACATTTTATAAACCAAGAAAGATCAAAACTTTCACTTTACCTAATTTGAAAAAATTGAAATTTTCGTGTGGGGTACATTTCAACACAAACGCTTTCACTATCTACCCATTACGAAACCAGAAAGATCAAAACTTTAAAAGAAAAAAAAGATCAAGGCTTTTCACTTGGGAATGATTTAGAAAATTGAAATTTGTGTTGAAATGTACCTGAGTGGATTTGAGAAGGTCGAAGAAGGCACCACCTTCAAACTTCTTCTGGGTTTCTTCAGGTAAAGCCTCGAATTCAGCAATGATCTGGTTTTGTTGCAAAATACCTTTACCTTTGGCTTCAACCCTAAAACAAAAATCATGTGAAGTGATGATCAGAGACTTTTGCTTTTTTTCGCCATTAAAGTACCAAAAAGGTGATTAATGTTATATACCTGGAAAGCAAGGCAAGGACTTCGTTTCTCTGAGAAACGAGCGTTTCGTTCAAACGCTCACGTTGGCTATGGACACGCGTAATCATCATTGATCCAAACGAAAATGACGCAGAAACAGTGAAAAAAGATCTTTTGGAAACTGCAGAGAGAAATAAACAAAAGGTAAAGAGATTGTAATAAGTTTTGATGAAGTATTGTGTTGTTCACATTCACGTTTATATAAAAGGAAAACTAAGCATTATATAACATTGAAAAAATGTCTAAAAACGCGACTTTTTTTTTTTTAATTTGACCTCGAGTTTCTACAATATTACGAAACAACCCTAAATGTTATTCAATTTGAATACTTGACCTATATAGCTTCTAGACATGAGCTTAATTACCAAAAATTCGTTTTCATTTTCTATATTAAATTATTTGTTTCCTATGTAACTAGATAGTTATAAAAATATTTGGAGCGGACTTGTACAAATCGAAAAAGATATTTTATGGACTAAACTTATCCATCGATTTTATTAAGTTTCGTTAAACATTCCTATCCACCATCCATTTTAAAGCAATGGTGTTTAAGCCTCACAAATATCTTTTGTGACCTATAAAAGTTGATGCAGAAACATAAATATAAAGACAAAAATAATATTTTTATGTGATAAAAAAAAAATAATAACAATCCTAGTACACGTCATATAATACATTAAGAGAAAATTATGATTGTTGGCTATAGTGGATTCCATATTTGGATTTTTTATCCGAGAAAATGGATAATAATTCAAAAAGAAGTTTCCGAAAATGTCAAATTAAATTAAAGAAAATAGTAGACGTGATACTTTTTTTATTTGTTTGGAAGACAGCTGGAAAATTCCTCTTCAAAAATAAGAAAGCGAGAAAATAGAATACAAAGCATGACTGATTCTCTAGAATATAAACAAGTTTGGTGTTTTTTTTCTAACCAGAGATTTTTCAGGGAAGAATTTTCAATCGAAAAGGACAAGGTTTTGTTGTGATTCATCTTGTTTTACTACTTTTGTTAATACAATAAACCCAGAAATAAAGAATAAAAAAGGACAACTTTTTCGCTAGCTAGCAATAGCATAAAGTATTAACATAATGTAACAAGAAAAACTATAAAAAAAATCTTGCAAGAATCGAAAGAGAAGAAGAAGAAGAGAACCTGGATTAGAGAGAAAAGTGGTTTTAGTTGGCTATGAAAATTTCGTACAATGGTTTTCAAATTTATAGGGAGACGAATTCTTAAAGGTTGATGTAATTTTTGGTAAGTGGATATGAAAATAAATAAATGATAAAATGAAGATGAATCATTAATTTCCTTTTACGTTTCATTTCTTGGGCTCCAAACCCCATAAATAGAGAAATGGATTAGAGAGTCCAAGGCAAAGGGCATTTTAGGGAGAAAGAAAGTTCTGGAAGTGTGTATATATTCCTATAAATTATCATTTACGTGATAACAATCGCTTATATAGTTTCCTTAAATAGAATATGCACTTAACTTTGGATTAAGAAGACATTTATTTACATTGGATTGAAGATTGATCTTTACTTTAGGCATAAGCCTACTTGACGAGCAAGAACAGATTATTGACAAACAAGCACATTTAGAAATTATATAACCAACAATTAATTGAATTATAGCAAGAAAAAAAAAGATTTAAAATTGGTAGAAAAAGAAATGTGGGAGAGATGTCGCCGAAGGACAAAAAGTTTCTAATTTTTCTTAGCAAAACAAAATATAAGAAACACCACATATCATGCATTTACAAAACATAATAAATTAAATTTCGTTTCTTTTGGGTTGAAAATTTAATTTAATTTAATTTGAAATGAAATGAAATTAAACTAGAATAGATATAATATTATAAAGAATTCTTTGATTGCATAAATATCTATAAATGGTATAATTCTTTTAAATATTTTTTTATTAATTGTTTGGCATTATTCAAACTTCAAATCCAAGTACTATTAAGGGTTTCCTACTATTAATGATGTATATTCGAAACTTTGAAAAGAAAGTTTTGTTACAATGTTTCCATCTAATTAGTTTGGTTGAACAATATTTCCATTGAGTCTTATAAAAGAAATTTAGAAACCGGTGTAATTATGTTTTCTTTACAATTCAATTAATTTATCTTAATTTTCTCACATATTTTTTAAAATTAATATGATTCTATTCACAGATGATAGAATGATGAAAACACTATGAAAAATGATTAAAATTGTTGGAAAAAATAGACCACGGTTTTATGATTATTGAAGATAATTAGTTTTTCTAATATATGCAATTTGAGCTTTTAAAATACTTTATGCATTATTAAAAAACAAATCCATATAGCAATCATCTCCTTAATAATGTGCAACCCAAAAGAAACGAAATTGACGCTTTAATTAGTGTGGTTGGTGAAATGTATAAACAAAAAGGTCAAATGGTTTTTACCGAAAAACCATTGATGGTTTTGCCATCCCATTGGCTAAGCTTTTATTGGTTAAAACATAGTAAATTAATTTCCTGTGACGGAAGCATTTACAAAATTAAAAAATTGTAGATGGCTTGTGACTTTGTACTGTAGATAGAATAGAGTTTTCTCCATCCTTCGACCACCACGTGGCCGTCCAGAACGAAGACTTCAACGTGTTGTTATGGTATTTGTTAGGGAGTCTAACAAAACAGAAGAGAGATTTAGATAAGGCCAAGTTGAGTGTGACAGATTTAAAAAAATAAAATAAAAAAATTGAGTGTGACATGGTTTCCACCGACATTGGATAATGTAATAACAAAATTTGTGCTAGGATTGGAGTATCAAGTATGTAATAAAAATTGATTTTAATTCAAATGTCGTACGTAAAAAAAACTAAAAAAAGTAATATTTGGTCCACTAACACAGTCTACTGTTACTTGTTTCTGTGAGGTGGTTTTGATTTTTGAGGTAAGCGGTATTAGTTCTCGTTTTTTGTTTGTTTGTTATTGTAATCAAATGGTTGTTGACGAAGGGAACGAATATAGAGGATGTGGTGTGGGGTAAAGTTTGAAATTTTGGGGTTAGAAATTAATTAGAGGATTGTAATTAATACTACCAATTAGCAATAGAGATTCCACCCAACCCAAAAAGTAATTTACAGTCATTATGTTTTGAGGAATGTAATGAAAAAAAAAAGGTTTTGTTCTGTGTGTGGTTGGTTCTGTGTACAAATGCATAAGTCAATAGAGTTACAGTACTAATCTCTACAATGAATATTTACGATGCAACTAACCAGTACTAACCACCCCTTTTATGATTATGGATGGTAAAAAGAGTAAATATAAAAGATTTTTAATAGTATAAAATTTTTATATTTAACCAAATCATTTTTGAGTTTTTAAATATAGAATCTATATTACCCATATTTAGTGGGTAAATATAACATTTCTCTCTATATCACTCTTTTTTTCTTTCTATTAATCAATCTCAATACAATTAATATTATAAAATTCATATATTATCTCAATCATATTTACTATCTATAATCATGCTCTAATGCATAGACAGCCAAATGATACTCCTCTAGTTTCAATAAGTAAGTA